TCCAGCTGCAATAGATACGTAGCTCGGGTTGAACCTCGGTACATCAATCCCCATGGTTTGGAATGGGTGATTTGACCAGGTTGTCAGACCAAAATAAATTACACTTCACTTACCATTTGATATTTGCACCAGTAGTACCTCCTAGCTGGATTCAGATCAGTATAAGAGGTAAGAAGATCGGGCTTAGCACCATGTTGACATGCTAATTTCGGAATTGCTGAACTCGAGAATGTTGCTGCCGAACTTGTCTTCCTATAGGAGTTGGAATCAGTCGACATAGTGTCGAAGTTGTCTTCTTAACTGAGCAACAGTCCCAATTTCCTTCTAGGGTTCTTCCTCAGAGCACATCAGCTTCAGCTTCAAAATTAGGGTTCTTCCTCAGACAACATTTTATTTATGCACAAATTGAAATGAAAAACGACGTTGTTTCTGTATGAGATGGAAAAAAAATCGAAGTTTACCACGCGAGACGAAACGACGTCGTCTAAGGATGATGTGGAAAAAAATTCGGATGGTAAATACAACTCAGCAGATGAGGTGTCGTTTTGGGTGCCATGTCAGCTTTTCTGGAGCAGCTGTTGAGAAGTGTGTATCGTTTTGCAAAAAATTGAAGCGTGTGATATTCTGTGCAAAAGTTAGAAGGTTGTGATTAATTTACAATCTCAATAAAGATCATGATATTAGACGCAATTTATCCTTCTAATTATTGGTTAGATTTATCCGTATCATTTAAGAAAATCATTGTCCATGATATTAGGAATTAAGATTTACACAATATCTTTCACGTATAACATTTTTTTTCTAAAATTTGAATTCGAATTTTCATTCAGCCGCCATTTTCCAAAAAATTACTAAGAATAGCAACTTTAAAATTTTGAAGCGAGAGTTTTAATATTATTTCGAATAAATCTCTCTCTCTCTTTCTCTCTCTATATTATATAGTAATAGATTTCAATCCTAGTTATTTTTTGAGAATAGAAATTAAATTAAAATATATCTTAGCCAAATGACAAAGCATAAAAAATTATCATATAAAATCTTGAAGCGTGCAAAGTATCACTTAAGCTCAGTACATTTAAAATTATATATAGAGGATTTATTTCTCTATCCTTTCATTTGTTCCCTATGTACCGTGTAAAATCTCCAGTGCCATTGGATACGTTTTAATTTTTTTTTTTTTAAAAAAAAAAGAATTATGAAAAAATTTTAGAGGGAATAAATTAATTATGTAATTTATGCATAAAAAAAAGTGAAATTTTAGAGGGAATAAATTAATTATGTAATTTATGCATAAAAAAAAGTGGTATGTTAAGAGAGTTATAAGGTAATAATTAATAATTAAATATGTAAGTAAATGTATTGTATTTTTTTTAAAAAATATGTAATCTTTTATTTAGAATTTATTTAATACACATTAAGGAGAAAAATATTAATAAACAAGGTATATTTCATCTAGATGATGGAAAATTCATTTTTTTCTAATATCACTTAATTTTGAGAAAAGTTGAATCAGTAGATTTTCAGTTTGTAAATACTTCAAATTAATGTAATGACTAAAGATGATGTAATTTAAAAGTAAGACATATTTTATTGAAAACAATGAGAAGTAGATCGGGCCGGTGGTCACCTTTGACTGCTCGGCCCGCCTCTGACGTCACGCTTTCTGGATCCGCTGCAGGTGTCTGCGATTGAGCAAGCTTCTGACCGTCGATTGCGGAGGGACGGTTCGGCAACAGGTTGGTGGTGTCGCTCCTTGGACGACGGAGGTCTCTGCCTGGTCTGGGTCGCCTCTTCTTCTTCGATTGCGAACCTTTGTTTCTGCATAGATCGCCGGTCGAGATGCGTGCTTTCCTGGGATTCGGTTGGAGGTCGGTCGGCGGTCGGTGGTTCCGTTGTCAAGGTACCGGTGGCCTTCAATTGATGGTTGGTATGGTGCTGGCGGTCGGCGATTGGACCTGCTCTCCATTAGAATTTGGGTGGTCGGTCATTTGGGGGCTTGGGCTTCTGGGTTCGGGTCTTTGGAGCTTGGTTCGGGTTGTGTGAGACTGTGGTGGGTCGGAATGTGCGTGTGTCGGTGGGTGGGTCGAGACTTTATCGGCTTGTTCGTTAGAGTTGAGGACTAGCAGGCCCCTCCCGGTTCTCTGGTGTTGGGTCCGGGTTTGGGTCCAGAGTATTCCGGGCTCGGCTAGTGGTGTTAGACGGATTTGGTTTGTTCTGGCTTGGGGTGTTGCTCTTTAGTCCCTCTCGGTTGGAGGTGGGTCGATTCAGGTTAAGTTTGGGGTCCGGGTTTGACTTCTGTATAGGCATTCGGCAGCAGTTTCGGAAGTTGGATTGGGCTTCGGATTATTAATTGAATCGATTGTTCTCCGCTGTCTCGACTCGTCAGACTGTTGGGGAAGGGCTCTCTTTTGTTTTTGCAGCTTTTGTTTTTGGTTTTTTGAGTCTGTGTTAGGATTATTTTTTTGGTCTGGGTGTTTTTACCTGAGTGTTTGTGTCCTGTATTTTTGGTTTGGGCCGTTGGCCTCAGTGTGAGAAGGAGTACCTTATTTTCCTGTGGGGAACAGCTCCTTTCTCTATTCTCCTGTGGGGAGCTTTCGTTGTAGTTCTTGTGTTTGGTTGTTTTGTCGGTCTGAGAGTCGTGTGTTTTTTTTCTAGCGGTTGCTAGCATCGGGCTTCTAGGCGGTCGTCAGATCTGTCCTCCCAGTTTACTCAGCTTAGGGTCGTGTATTCAATCTTGGGTTGTATCTTTGCACATTTGTGTGTTTGTTATATATAATTCCTCTATCGTTTTGGAAAAAAAAAAAAA